CAGGACACATCCTAGTCAACGAGTTCTGGCAGGCCAACGTGGGCGACATGGCCATGGACGAGTCCCGCTTCCCCACCATGGAAGAGACCATCAAGATCGTACATCGGCGCGGCTTCCGCATCGCCTTCACGCTGCAGCCCTTCATCGGGACCGAGTCCATCAACTTCCGCGAGGCGGTGCGCCGCAAGCTGCTGGTCGGCACCCGGGGCGGTGGCCCTGGACGGGAGTACACCCCGGCGCTGAGCCGCTACCGCAGCCTGCTGAGCGCGGGCGCCCTGGACGTGACGAACAAGCGGTCCGTGCCCTGGTTCAAGGAGATGCTGGAGGACCTGCTGCAGCGCTACAAGATGGACTGCTTCTTTCTCGACCTGGGCGTCGCCTACGACCTGCCGTACCACTACAAGTTCCAAGGCCCACTCACCAACCCAGACCACTTCATGACCGCCTTTACCGAACTCGTGCAGGTAAGGCAGGCAACCTGGGCAGGGCTCGACGCGACGCGCCTCTTCGCCCATACATCACCGCGTGCGACTTGTTCTTCTTGCAGTCGTCCGTGACTGTGCTCGGCGTGTCGTCAGCCATCGCTCGCCCCCGCGTCCCCACGTTCGTGACGCTGCCCGCCGTGCCGTCCACGTGGAAGGGGCTGCAGTCCGTCATCCCCACCATCCTCACGTACGGCATCATCGGCTACCCCTTCATCATGCCCGGTGCCGTGGGCGGCGATTACGACGAGGAGGTGCGATCTTGTGCGCCATGCTCCGCTTCTGTTCCTTGCTCGTGCTGCAGGGCGCATTTCCATCATTTCGTTTATATTTTGCAGCCATCAAGTGACATCGGCTCGACCGCGGGGCCGCTCGCGTCTGTGCTCACCGGGCGCAACGCCACGACGACGACCACGCCGCCCGCCGCCGCGTTCGCGGACATGGCCGGCCCCGCTGACGACGCCGACGTCCTGGAGGAGGCGATGGAAGGGGACGGCACCTCGGGCGAGAGCCTGGGCACGGGCAACGGCCTGGGCGCGGGGCTGGGCGCCGGCCTGGGCCAGGGGCCGGGTGTGGGCGCTGGCGCGGCGCTGGGGCTGGGCGTCGGGCCCTCGTCGGGGGAGGAGGAGCTGCAGGAGGTCGTGCGCCTCGCCGACACCGAGCTGTACGTGCGCTGGATGCAGCTCGCCTCCTTCCTACCCGTTGTGCGCTACACGACGCTGCCCAACAAGTACGGCTCCGAGCTCATCCTGGAAAGCGCTCGCACTCTCACCAGCCTGCGCCAGAAAATAGTAGGGTGAACAAATGATGCCTCCCCGTTTTCCCCATTTTACGAGGGATGGCCCGGTAGGACCCACAAATGCGTTATGTTTTGTAGGTGAACCCGCTCCTCAAAAAGTACGCCCGCGAGGCACTCGACTCGGGCCTGCCGCTGGTCCGGCCGCTGTGGATGCTGGACCCGCTGGACCCCGCCTGTCGCCTTCTCTCTGACGAGTTCTCCATCGGCGAGGAGCTCATCGTCGCACCGGTGCTGCAGCCGGGCTCCACGGAGCGTGACGTCTACTTGCCCACAGGAGTATGGAAGGACGGCATTGACGGCAGCCTAAGGAAGGGCAGCCGCTGGATTCACATGTACAAGGTAGGCTTATACTCTATTTAACCAGCAAGTCTTTCATGTTCGGATTTATCAATATTTACTTCTGGTTGAAATTTGGAACTGGCTAAGACCTTTTTACGACCATTTTCAGGTTCCATTGGATAAAATTGCATATTTTGTGAAAATGCCAGATAACACAAGGTTTTAGACTTCACTGAATGCCATGAACAACTAAGTAATTTGTACTAAGTAATGTCTGGTAGATTTAGAAAAACCTCAGAACCAAACTACTACTACTTTTTCTTTTTAAAAGTAAATGAGAGTATCATCAATTTTTAACTGAGTTGCTGTAGAGTGTTAAGTTTTAGTTAAGTAATTGTAATGATTGTAAAAAAAGAATACCGTGGTGTATTAATTCCAGATCTTTTTTCTTAGTGCAAGGGTATTATAGGTAAAGCATAAGCCTGTTAGAAATTTGAAGTAGCCAAGAGCTATTTTAGTTGATTATGTCGTTTTAGGGGGAATTTGCCCCCTAAAACGACATAATCCACTTCAGTACCTCCTTGCTCCTTGAAATTTTTACCAGGGAAATGTACATTGTAGTATATTATCTGTTCACAAGGATAATTGAATTGTGCAAGACAAACTGATTTTATATGAAGCTGTGATTATATTCACTATATGAGGTAAGAGCACTGTGCAGTGATAATAAAATAGTGTCACATGAACTGTGCGATGTGTTCACTGATGACTGAGCTATATCGTATCACAGTGCTATAAACTAATTTATTTAAAAATCATGGGTCTCATATCTCGGGCATCATGCATTGTGTATTATAATGTAAAGTTGCTCCATTACTCTTAAGACACGTAAGTTTATTGTGAAAAAAACTATTTCCATACTTAAAATTAGTATACCTCTCAGCTAGCAGAGGAAACAAATTCCACACCTGTATGTTAATTTGTTCAGAGTATTTTTATTGTGATAGATATGTGATCGTGATAATAAATAGGTATCAAAATCAAAAAAACAAAGAAATCATGAATATCAACCAGTCCTTTCCACATTACAAATGCATGCAACTTGTTTGGTACCCAAAATAAAATATTTCTGCAAATTTTTTTGATGTTTTGAGTTTTAGATCGTATAGACACAACTTTTTTTTTCTCAGAAAGTGTATACACGTCCCAGTTATAGAGGTGTATAGTGACCAGGGTTGGCTTTCTCTGTCTCTCTTTTCCCATAAGAAGGCCGGTGGTACGAGAGAGAGAGAGATCAACCCCACCAATAGTGACTATGCAAGGACTATGGCTAATGGCTAGGAGGGAATTCCCGGAAGTCGGACCCGCATTGCTCGATCCAAACACTCCCCTCTGCCGGCCGATGGATGCAGGCAGATCGATGGATAGATGGATGGATGGCCATGACCTAACCCTAGATATGTGTGTGTACTAATGCTGGTCAGTAGCATTTTAGTTTTGTCAGTAAGTACAGATTGACACATTGATACATTTTACTTTACTACATGTGTACCACAGATGGACATATTTTTTTTACTTTCCAACTTGTCCTTATAACCATTTTTATTCAATTTGGCTGTTAAGTTTCGTTCGGCCGGAATACCTTCACTTCCTCAAACGATTTTTTATTGTTTTTATTTCTCTTTTCCTCATCTAAGTATGTGGCGTGGATGTCTAAGGAATTATATTTGTTCCTCTTAAGTAATCTAAATATTTGAACTCATTCTTCGAATGTCTTGTGTGACATGACCTGCAAGGTCAATAGTGAGGTTATATCTTTGTGCTAGGTTAGTGGATTTGTAATGGCACTTCTAAAAACATCATCATTATTCGTAGTGAACATTTTCCTTGACTACTCAATACTGTTGTTTAATTAGAGCAATAGAAATGAATAATTTCAAAAATTTTAAATCTCTACTTTTCTTTGTGTTTGGTTTCAGAAAAAAAATTATCAGCTAACTTTTGACGAAAATGGATTCTTCACGTTTATTGGTCTTCTTGGGACTCTCATTCACAGCCTCAGCCACTGCAGCCATAGTCTACTTACTCTTACGAAAGGTACCATAAATATACATTGCTTTATTTTATATTTTTAAGGAACATACTGGAAACTCTGTAATATGTATGTATTTTCAAGGATGAAGAAAGCAGCAGTCATGATGGTAGTATTAAAAGTTCACGAAAAACTTTGATTCAAGTAAAAGTTCCTAATGACTTAATGGGAACAGTTATTGGACGAGGAGGGTGTACTGTTAAGAATATTCAAGAAAAGAGTGGAGCAAGAGTAAATTGCAATGATGAATGTAACGTATATCTATACTGCTTTGCTTTAAAAAAAACTAGCATTCTATTTAGCTAACTTCTTTTAATTAAACTTCTTCCTCTGATATATCAGCTTCTAGTGAGAAATACCGAGTTGTTACAATCCAAGGAACTCCAGAATCTGCGCAATTGGCAGAGTCAATGATTCATGAAATCATCATGAACCAGCCACTCATTATTTCTCACGAAATGTGGGTCCCAGCTGTAAGTTAAAAGTTAAAGTTACATATTCTTATTGCTCTGTTACAGTCAATTGATAAGAATTACTGAAGGACATTTTTAAGTGTGTAGAGTCAAGTATACCACTTTGTTGTTCTAGAGAGCATGTGGACGCATCATTGGTAGAGGAGGTGAAACAATCCGGTCAATAACTCGAACGTCATGTGCTAAAATAATGGTAGATTCAGCTGGTGATGATGAACGAGGTAAGTATTGCTTATTCTGTGCCTAAAATTAATGGTTTATTAAGAAATTTCACCATTGTATTTTGATTTTCTAGCTACTGAGAGACGTGTTCTGTTGAAAGGAACTGCAGAGCAAATAGCTTTAGCACAGTCTCTCATTGAAAAGGAAGTTGAAGAAGAAGCTGATTTTCGACACCGCGTTGAAGCTAGTATTGCCAACCGATCTCCAAGAAGAGAAGCAAGGGACTATTATAACTATCTGATGGCTCCTGATGATGATGCTGATGCCAATGTTGAGGTATTAATTTTTTCTTTATTCTATCAATTTAAAAATTACCCTTTTGGAAATCATGTCCAGAGAGAAAATAATTGATTTTACTTTCCCTGGAAACCTTTTTTAAAGGAAAAACAGCACCCAGCTCGCCGATTTGAGCGATTTGAAGGTGTTGGACAATCGGGATTCTTTGATGTATTTGTGTCCGCTTTGGAAAATCCAGGCCAATTCTGGGTTCAGGTAAATAAAAAAATAAATATATTAAAAAAAGATCAATAGCTAGTTTGGCGGCTGCATCATCCTTTAACTTTTTCCATTACTTGTTTAGTTAGTCAGTCAAAGAGGAGTGGAATTGGACCAACTAGTTGACAACATGACTGAATACTACAGCAAACCTGAGAACCAAGAGCTTCATACTCTCCAAGAGGTCTGATACATAAATTCTACTGTCAATTTCAATGAAGTCTTTTCCTTCACTTAATATCTTACTTTGGTCTTGTGAAATGGTTGTCAGTCATGCTTTTTGATCATGTTTACAGATAAGTGTGGGTCAAATTGTTGCAGCTCCATTTGACCATGATAACAAGTGGTACAGAGCAGAAATATTGAAAATTGAAGAAGATGAGTATGATTCAGCTGAATCAAGAGTAACTCTTTACTATGGAGATTATGGTGATACATGCACAGTCAGGCGCAAAAGTTGCCTTGACTTACGAACTGACTTTCTGACTCTTTACTTTCAAGCTATTGAGTGCATGCTAGCCCATGTCAAACCTCAGTAAGTCAGTGAGCTTTCTTTGTGTTTTTAAAAGTTGGTTTAGTAGAGGTCATAGTTATTTTAATTCTCTTATTATCAGTCTTATCTATCTTATTTTTTTTGATTTTTTTTTTTGAGCTCATGTTAATTTCAATGGTGCAGCAATATAGTCCATGTATATATTGATTGTATCCATAGTTTTAGATACTTTAAAATACATCCGGTGCTAATTATTTGTTGCAGTGGTGAGGAGTGGTCTGATGAAGCTACAAATCTATTTGAAGATCTGGCACAAGTTGCCATGTGGAGTAAAAAGTTAGCCCATGTGGTAACATACCGGGAAAGTACTCAAAAGAAAGGTCAACGAGCTGGTAGCCCAGTTCCTGTAATTGAAATTCATGATATGGAAAAGGTATTTAGTGTAGAAATATTTCCTTCTCAAATTAATTGATGTCAGTTTGTTTAATAAACCTTGGTTTATTTCTTGTGCTCAGGGGTTTAACATAGGAGAAGAACTTGTGAAACAAGGTTTGGCTGTGTGGGAAGTTCCCTCTCAGTTTGAAGATGCTGAAGATCCAAAATCTAGTGATTCAAACCAGAAGGTAGCTACTGCTCAAACAAAGCAAACGGGTACATACCGGACTAGTAATGACCCAGTGAGGTTTGCACAGAATTCTTCTACTTCTGTGAAAGTTCCCAACCCTGTGAAAATGTCACCTATTGCAGTATTTGGTTCAGATTCAGAGTTACCTGCACATAGTTTTGAACCTAGGCACTCTCCGTCATCATCATCATCTTCATCCGCATTTATAAACAGGGAAAAGAATGTAAAGCAGGGAGGGTTCAAACCTAAAACTCTTGAAACACCTAAAAGAAGGCAACAATTTGAAGACAAATCAAATCCCAAAAACGTCATCTGTCTTCCAGAAAGGTTTAGTAGTGATGAGGATTCTGATGGTTTTGCGTTAGAGTAGTGATAATTTGTAATGTTCCTCTTTCAACGAATCATTTTACATCCATCCCATTATCATTCATTGTATGTTAATAGAAATTTAAACAATTATACCTAAATTATTAACTGTTGTTTTCTTCTAACCCTTAATTGAAAAGCCAGAAAACACTGTTGTTGTTTGTCTTTTCTTCCAATGTCTACTATGGAAGAATTACAATTTCCTAGACTTCGTTGTTGCTTTCAATAACTTTTAAGCTATGATCAACAAGTTGAAAATGAATTTTGTCTTGTACTTTATTTAACAATTTAGAAAATAAACAATCCATAAAAGCTGTTAAGTTTTGAAACCACATGGATATGCCAAAGTGTAGTGCAAGTGCCATTATTCAGTTATTGCAGTATTTGGCTTCTGTGTGCATTTATTTTAAACTTTATGACGATATTGAGTGAACTATTTACTAATGCAATTCAGATGCTGTATGTTTAACATCTAAAGTTTTAATTTGTATCTAGATTTTCTGTCAAAGTTGGAAACTATGTAACCATTTGGAAATAAGGGCATTGTCACTATATGAACCTATTGTCATAGGCATATGCTTGTAGATGATCCATGTTTCATTTAATAAACTTATTAACTTGTGTCATTCTGGTAAATTATCAAAATTTAGTTAAGTCATGTGAAAAGTAGACACTGCCATGTTTAAAAAAGAACTTTGATGTGCTGTGATGGTTTTCTTCCCTTTCAAAGCAATTATATTTTTA